GAGCGTATACCAGATAGATGAGAGGGTGTCTCTATATGTGGGTGTGTGTGTGTATAAATAAAAATAATAATAATATCTCTCTAGGCGCGCGCTCGCTATATATATATATTTTTCAGAATATATATCAGATTCGAAGAGCCGTGCCCCCCGATATATATATATATATATATATATATATATATATATATATATATATATATATATATATATATATATATATATATATATATATATATTGGCCATTGTGCGTCTGATCAAGATATAAAAGTGAAGAAAAGGTTTAACATATTAAGATTATCCATTCAATGGTGGGCGCGCGTGTGGAAAATGAAACTTGTTTCTTAGGCTTTACAGTACACTTTTGGACTGTTCTCAGTTCTGTGTGCTGCTTAAGTGAATCCTGCTTGTCTTCACTCTTTACCAACATTGTTTCTCTCTCTCTCTCTCTCTCTCTCTCTCTCTCTCTCTCTCTCTCTCTCTCTCTCTCTCTCAAGTATATGCCTGTCATTTTCAACGGCCATCATGAGGAAACATAACTCAAACCCTAATTAACTAGTATTTGAATTTACTTTAAATGAAATATATCAAAACCCCTAAAATGTTAAAAGTGGGATATATGTTCATGAAATACAATCCAAAATAGTATTTTATCCAATATATATACACTAAATACAAAATTGAAGGACAAGCCAAAAATTAATGCACAGAAAGGAACGCCACATTTTATTTCGAAGAACAAATTCATTTAATGAAGGACCTAATCGAAAATACACGTAGCCGACTAAAAATATATACGTACGACGAAAATACATGCATGCATGATATTGTCTCAATCATACATTAATTAATAAATCAATATTATTAGATGCTAATGCTTGTCTTTAAGTATTAAATCCCCCAAAGTTGTCTCCTTAATCTCTATAACAACCGTACGCTCATCATCATCGACCGGGTTCACAACACCACAATGAATCAGTCGTTGCTGTTTATTGTCAGTTGAATTTTCTTTCCTAAAACGCGCCTTTTCGGAAAGTTCATTGACGGAAATTGAGATTTTTTCGACGCAATTAATGATGTCTGTGAGTAGGGATGCAATGACAAGCAACGTCATGATTTCTTGGATGTCTGGCTTTCCGTTGGGCGATAACGAAAAGTTATCGAGCATGGTTTTGAGATCTTCGGCTGCCGATTTGGAATTATTTAAGTGGTTTTCAATTACAGCTGATGATGGAAACGTCATGTTTTTTATTGCAGAGGCTAATTCTTTCAGTGCCTTGCCCGATTCGGTGCTCAATTTTCGGAATGCGGGTTGGATTTGCAGTTCGATTTCTGATGGTGCAGCTTCCTGCAAATTAGAAAATTAGTTCAAGCTCGCAATTAAATGTATATTGTCATATTCAATTAAATAAACTAGTGACTCTTTTCTAAGA